TGGGGACACGGCAGCCCCCTCCTACAACCTGGGGACACCGCAGCCCCCTCCTATAACGTAGGGACACAGCAGCCCCCTCCTACAACCTGGGGACACGGCAGCCCCCTCCTACAACCTGGGGACACGGCAGCCCCCTCCTACAATGTGGGGACACAGCAGTCCACTCCTACAACCTGGGGACACGGCAGCCCCCTCCTACAACCTGGGGACACGTCAGCAAGGAGGAAGCTTCCGTCTTGACGTGCACTGAAAACGCTTTATTGGCCCTGAACAAACACACCGAGCGGATTGCTAGGACCTCAGCCCTATGGCCAGCAGGAGGGACAGACGTGAGCCAGACCTTCATAGCTGCCCCAGGCGTGTGGTGGCCTCTCTGTCCCAGCTTCTGAGTGCATGGCACGTTCCAGAAGGTCTCCCCTTCAGGCCCCGCCTCACCTCCTGGCCCCTGGCCCACGGGTGTCTCCGGGTTCTGCCTTTGACAGTGGGGGTGCTCTGGGAATGTGCTCTTCAGAGCAAATCCTGCCTCTGGTCCTGACCATTTGGGAGGCCCAAGGCAAGCAGATGTCAGTCCCGAGGAGTAGCCTCTGACGCTGGAAATGCAGATGAGCTTGGACGCAGCCGTGGAAGGCCCTGTGGCCCTGGAGAGGTCACTCAGTGGAAATGCCACCAGAGGGAGCCAAAAGAAGCAGGCTTGTCCCCTGAAGTCCCTGGGGTCAGCCTGGGGACCCCACAGTGTGGGGTGAGTCAGAAGCGCGGGTGCTCTGCTGTCGTGTCCTGGGCGACCGAGGGCAGTCTGTTCTCCTCTCTGTGCTCCTCACCAGGCACGGAGCGTCCAAGAACCTGGGCGCCTCTTCTGTGCCTCGTATGAGCAGGGGCTGGGCCAAGTGCTCTGTGCACAGGGGCAATTCCTCGTGAAGATGCCGCTGGGCTTCCTCCTGGGGCCTCCTGAGTGGAGACGAGGCCCACCATGGCTCCACGCTTGCTCTGGGTGTGTGGGGACCTCCCCTGGTGGTAGAGACGGCTCCTGGCTTTGCGTAAGTGGCTGGCTGCAGTCTTGTCCTGGAGAGGTCCTGAAGGCTGGTCTCACATTCTCAGACCTCTGGGTCCTGCTGCTGGGCCTCCACCGTCCTCTAGGACGTGTGCTCGATCTCTGGGAGTACGTGCACAGAGCCCTTGGGCCTGCGGCGGCTGCTCCCACTGCCCATCACCTGTACCTGTGGTCCGTCTGCACATGTGGGTGGCTCCTCAGTGTGACCTCCGGTCTTCACGGAACCCCTCTTGGCTGTGCTTGCCAAGTGGACCAGAGCAGGTGGCCATGCGCCCTTCCTCTGGGGACTTGGGAGCACCTTGCATTGTCTCGAGCCCAAGGGCACTGAGCTGGGTGGGTGCTTACGGGGAGCTATGTGTTCTCCTTGGAGCCCTGATGTGGGCTCACTCCGTCCAGCCGGAGCCCACTGAACAGCTCAGGAGGGTGTGGCCACGGAGTCAAAAAGAGACCTTGGGAGACCAGCTTCAGAGAACTGCATAGGAAGCTTTGATGCATAACCCGTTACTGGGCAGGTCAGCTGAGGGTCGTGATGATCCAATGAGCCAGCGACACCCTCGTGAGCAGTGAGCAATGGGCTGACAGGTCAGCGGCAGGAAAGCAGACAGAAGGGACGTGCCATGCGCCTGGGGGAGGTTGGGTTGCCATGGTGAAGGGCTGTGTGTGGGCAGGGTGCTAACCACAGCATCCGGGTTCAGTGTGCTGGACCCCGAGCCCTCACATGGGAACAGAGGCCTCTTTCCAACTCACGGGCCCAACACCTGAGGCCTGGGTGGTCCTCGAGCTTGACCACGTGGGTTAGATGAGTGAGTGATCATGGCCAAGAGCTCTGTTCAGCACGGAAGACCCCTGCAGAGTCCCCGACTCTCAGGGCAAGGCTTAGGACTTGGTGACTTTGCAGAGGTGTGGAGGTGTGCCTACAGCCACCCCGCTCTGGGAGCGCCATCCTCCATGACTGGCGTGAGACTGTGAATGCCTGTGCGACCGGCTGGTGTGCATTGCTGCTGCGGGCTCCGGGCTGGGGACAGCGCGGAGCTCGGGGTGAGGCTGGGGCCAGGAGCACCCCATACCTTCCTCCTGTGACCCTTTGACTCCTGCTGGGTCATGGGCAGAGCCCACAGTGAGCTGAGCCACACTGGCCTTGTGTGTCCTGGGAAAGCCTTTCTGAAGACATCCTGAGTGTCTCTTGGGTCCTGGGATAGCTTCATTCTCAGGAGGTTCTGAAAATGGTGACCAGGGTGGCCAAGTGGAGGACTGGTCCCGTTGAAGGTGTTTCTGGACAGTCACCGTGTTGAACACTGAGACGTCTATATCCAGCTGAAGGGTCCCCGCCGTTGGCGCCGTGTTGACAACTAAAAGTCGTTCTGTTCTTGGAGTTGACAGCTACTCACTGGAGACCTAAAGTCAAGGCAGCGTCCTCTCCAACACTCCCTCCACACTGGTGGCAGGGCCACAGCCAACGGGGCCAGGTGGTGACACTGAAGACCACAGCAGCTGGGGGCCATCCTCAGGCTTCCGGGCAGCGTAACAGTCGCACAGGAAAGGAGGCGCAGGCGCCCGAGTGAACAGGAGAGCTGCCTCTGCACACGCCACACCCCTGACCGCAGCTCCGGGGGACGACCCTGGAGCTCCTACTAGAGGCCAGCAGGTCTCGGGGCACACACAGGAGGCTGCGCTCTGCTCATCAGAGACCATGGCAGCCTGACGGCATGAGGCAGTTCTGCTCCCAACACGATCAAAGAAGAAAACACCCAGGAGTAAGCACGTCCGAAGGAGCAACTCACCCGGAGGAGCACACTCACCCGGAGGAGCAGACTCACCTAGAGGAGCAGACTCATCCCGAGGAGCAGACTCACCTAGAGGAGCAGACTCACCTAGAGGAGCAGACTCACCCGGAGGAGCAGACTCACCCGGAGGAACAGACTCACCCGGAGGAGCACACTCACCCCGAGGAGCACACTCACCCGGAGGAGCAGACTCACCCGGAGGAGCACACTCACCCGGAGGAGCACACTCACCCGGAGGAGCAGACTCACCCGGAGGAGCAGACTCACCCGGAGGAGCAGACTCACCTAGAGGAGCAGACTCACCCGGAGGAGCAGACTCATCCCGAGGAGCAGACTCACCCGGAGGAGCAGACTCACCTGGAGGAGCACACTCACCTGGAGGAGCAGACTCACCCGGAGGAGCACACTCACCCGGAGGAGCAGAC